GGAGAGAGTGTGACCGGAGAGTGTGACAGAGAGGTGACGGAGAGAGAGAGAGTGTGACCGGAGAGAGAGAGTGTGACCGGAGAGAGAGAGAGGTGTGACCGGAGAGAGAGAGAGTGTGACCGGAGAGAGAGAGAGAGAGTGTGACCGGAGAGAGAGAGAGTGTGACCGGAGAGAGAGAGAGAGTGTGACCGGAGAGAGTGTGACCGGAGAGAGAGAGGACCGGAGAGAGTGTGTGACCGGAGAGAGTGTGTGACCGGAGAGAGAGAGAGTGTGTGACCGGAGAGAGAGAGATGTGTGACCGGAGAGAGAGAGTGTGTGTGACCGGAGAGAGAGAGTGTGTGGACCGGAGAGAGAGAGTGTGTGACCGGAGAGAGAGAGTGTGACCGGAGAGAGAGAGTGTGTGTGACGGAGAGAGAGAGTGTGCGGAGAGAGAGAGAGAGAGTGTGACCGGAGAGAGAGAGAGTGTGACCGGAGAGAGAGAGAGGAGGAGAGTGTGACCGGAGAGAGAGTGTGACCGGAGAGAGAGTGTGACCGGAGAGAGAGTGTGACCGGAGAGAGAGTGTGACCGGAGAGAGAGTGTGACCGGAGAGAGAGTGTGACCGGAGAGAGAGTGTGACCGGAGAGAGAGTGTGACCGGAGAGAGAGTGTGACCGGAGAGAGAGTGTGACCGGAGAGAGAGTGAGAGAGAGAGTGTGACCGGAGAGAGAGTGAGAGAGAGAGTGTGACCGGAGAGAGAGTGTGACCGGAGAGAGAGTGTGACCGGAGAGAGAGTGTGACCGGAGAGAGAGTGTGAGAGAGAGAGTGTGACCGGAGAGAGAGTGTGACCGGAGAGAGAGAGTGTGACCGGAGAGAGAGAGAGAGAGTGTGACCGGAGAGAGAGAGAGGTGTGACCGGAGAGAGAGAGAGTGTGTGACCGGAGAGAGAGAGAGAGTGTGTGTGACCGGAGAGAGAGAGAGAGAGTGTGACGGAGAGAGAGAGAGAGAGTGTGACCGGAGAGAGAGAGAGAGTGTGACCGAGAGAGAGAGAGAGAGTGTGTGACCGGAGAGAGAGTGTGACCGGAGAGAGAGAGTGTGACCGGAGAGAGAGAGAGTGTGACCGGAGAGAGAGAGTGTGTGACCGGAGAGAGTGTGTGACCGGAGAGAGTGTGTGACCGGAGAGAGTGTGTGACCGGAGAGTGTGTGTGACCGGAGAGTGTGTGTGACCGGAGAGAGTGTGTGACCGGAGAGTGTGTGTGACCGAGAGGGTGGACGGAGAGAGAGAGAGAGTGTGTGACGAGAGAGAGAGAGAGAGTGTGTGACCGGAGAGAGAGAGAGAGAGTGTGTGACCGGAGAGAGAGAGAGAGAGTGTGTGACCGGAGAGAGAGAGTGTGTGACCGGAGAGAGAGAGTGTGTGACCGGAGAGAGAGAGTGTGTGACCGGAGAGAGAGAGTGTGTGACCGGAGAGAGAGAGAGAGTGTGTGACCGGAGAGAGAGAGAGAGTGTGTGACCGGAGAGAGAGAGAGAGTGTGTGACCGGAGAGAGAGAGAGAGTGTGTGACCGGAGAGAGAGAGAGAGAGTGTGACCGGAGAGAGAGAGTGACCGGAGAGTGTGTGTGACCGGAGAGAGAGAGTGTGTGACCGGAGAGAGAGAGAGAGAGTGTGTGACCGGAGAGAGTGTGTGACCGGAGAGAGAGAGTGTGACCGGAGAGAGAGCGGACCGGAGAGAGTGTGTGAGCGGAGAGAGAGAGTG